AGCTGCTGTGCCCTGACCTGGAGAGCGTCAGGACAAATCACGGGACGGGTGCTTTGTGGATGTTGATGTTTTGTGTTGGTTACCGACTGACTGAGGAAGGGTGGCTTGTGAATGCGGGCGAGGGCTTCGGGGACGATCCAAGCCTAGACATCAGCACAAGTCACAGTTTCAAAGAAGGTTCGGACCCTAGTGAGGGATGGTCTCGAGCAGCTGCTCACCCTCTCCAAAGCTACAGTTATTTTTAATTAGGGTGAGTGACATTCCCAGGGGAAGACTGAACCTGGTTCTACCGCCTGCGTCCTGGTGAGTAGGCGGGGGCTGAAGGGTGTGTCCCTAGTGTCGCTGCTGTGGCTGGCATGCACGCATCCTGCCGCGCAGGGACTCCGCCGAGCCCGCGGGGCGCGCGCCCGCTCGCGCGCGCCCCCGCTTTCTCTCAGGCCCGCGCCCGCGCCCCCGCCCGCCCGCGCCTTGCGCTCGCGCCCTCGCGGCTGGAGCGGCGCTCAGCTGACCCGCGGGCGCCAGACGCCACGGCCGGGGCTGACGGGCGCAGCTGCGGCGCAGGCCTCACGCCGCCACTCCCCTGCGCACCCCCTCCCCCACCGGGGCCGGGACACCGAGCGAGCGAAGAGCCAGCGACCGAGCGTTTCCCGGCGCCGAGCGAGGAGCCAGGCTGCGCGGCCATGGGTGCGCCGGGGTTACCCTAGGGCCGGCGAGGCACCGCGGACCGAACGGCGGCGCCGCTGCCCCCGCACCTCAGCGAGCCTCTCTCCACCCTCAGCGAGCCTCCCCCGGCGGCGGCGGCGGCGGCGGCGGCCGGGATGAGCGGCGGCGGCGGCGGCGCCGCGGCGCCCGGTCCGGGCTCGGGCTCCTCCCCGGCAGCTTGCCGCTTCGCGCACTACTTTGTGCTGTGCGGGATCGACGCCGACAGCGGGCTGGAGCCCGACGAGCTGGCGGGTAAGGCCGGGCTGCGGCAGCGCGGGGCGGGCTGCGTTGGGGGACGCGCGGGAGGTGGGGCAGGCCCCGCGCGAAGTCCGCTCGGCCGGCGCTTTAATGACATTGTTATTTATTCCGCGCGCAGAGGCTGCCCTGCCGTAGCCGCGGGCGCCGGCGTCCCGGGCGCGGGGTTGTTAATAACGCGCGTGGGCGGCCTCGAGGGTTCGGCCCCCGCGGGGCGCACGGAGGCGGCCGTGACTCAGGGGCGCGGGCTGTCCTGCCCGCCGCGGCCCCCCGCGCCCCTCGCCCCGGCTGCGAAGTTTGGCCCCGGCACGTGACGCCGCTCAGCCTTTGGGGGCCGGCGGGGTTGCGCCCACCCGGCGAAGGGGGGGCCGCGCGAGGGCGGAGGCTCTTTGGACTTCACCCTTCTCTTTCCGTCCCCTCGGGTCTTGCCTGCGATGGTGGCCGAGTCACCCTTTGGAATCCTGTCGATTTGGCAGTGTCACCTTTGAACGCTCTGGACCCTGCCGGATGCTGTGTTAACACTGACCACACCGCTCCGAGTTGAAGCTGGCGGGTGCCCTGTAGGTCACTGCCTTGGGTTTTCCTGGAGGGCACTGTCCTCCTGGACTCGATGGCGCAGTGCAGGGCTGAGCTGGGGAACCCACGCTGGGAAGGGGTCGCTAAAGAATGCTGGGGGTGGGGAGTGCGCAATGTCTAGCCCAGGCTCGGGAGAGCCACTGATGGCATTTTTCACGCCTGTTTCCCTCTGCTTCACTCCTTGGGATCTGAGGCTTGATTTTATTATTTTTTTAATGGGTGAGACAAGTGACATCTACCGCCTGAACTTTATGTGTGTCAGTGCTAAACACTTAGGTCATAGCCTTTCAGAATAGCTTCTTTTGGATAGAGCATTCCTTATTGATTGCACCAACATGGGTTCTCTCTCATCCTTTGAAGGAAGGACTGGGAAGAATATATTAAGTAATAAACAATAGTAAACAAAACTGTTCAGCCTTAAAATACAGTACCCATCATCCCACGTCGTAGCTAAGTATCTTTTGATTAAGTCAGCATCTCAGCAGAACGTTTTCAACAAAAACTGTAAGTCTTTCAGTTAAAATTTTTGGAAAAAAGGCACAATAGAGTATTGTTTTTCCCGTATCTGCAATTATGTAATCATAGTGTTTCTTCCGCCAAGATTTCATATACATGTTAAAAATAACTTCGTTAAGGGATATCAAGTTAGGGAGGAAAAAATCCCTTTGTAGAGGTGTTTGGAGACATTTCCTTTCTGGGGCTGGTGAAAGGATTATCTTATTTTTCTAGGGTCAGTTGGAGGCCTGCTAACGGTGACTGATAAGAAAAAAGCCTGCATTTTTCCTTCTCTCTCTCTGCCTTGTAATGTGAAAACAACACCTTCTACACATGACCTGGGACTCTTCAGTGCAAATGGCTTAACAAAATTAAGCAGGAAAAATTAGATTTGAATGTATTTTTAAATCTTCTTTCTTTTTTAAAGAAACAAGTAGAGAATGAAAGAAAGGCAATAAAAGCAATATCCAAGAAAGAGATGGCTACAAAGTTCCTAGAACTGACAAAAAAAAAGTTAAGATTTTTATGCATTTTTAAAGACACAAACTAGTTTCTCTTTCAGCAATAATATGTGATTGTTTGGCATTTTTGCTGTTCATAATATTTGGTATATTTGGGTAATAGTGTATTTTACTTGGTAACATTTGAGTATCATTCAGTCAGCAAGTGGTTTTTGAAAAGCCTTTATTTAGACTATATCCTAGGCACTGTGATTACCTGTGAACAAAGCAATCAAAAATCTCTGCCATAATGGATTTTACATTCTAGTGTAAACCAGTAATGAAGATAAAGTTTACCAGATGTTAATAAAAGCTATGAGGAAAAATAAAGAAGGAAATAAAGCCAGGCAAGGGGGCTCACACCTGTAATCCTAGCACTTGGGAGGTGAGGCCAGCATGAGCTAAATAGTGAAACCCTGTCTCAAAAATATTTTTTTCTAAATAGAGAAGTGGGATTAGAAGAGTGACAGCAGAACGGTGGGATAGTGGAGTTGTGATGTTATTTTATGTTGGTACTGGGGGTTAAACCAAGGCCTTGAACAGGCTAACCATGCACACTACCACTGACTGTCCTCCCTCCCCCAACTCGGGTTAGGGAAGGTCTGATGGAGAAGGTGACATGTGAACAGAGACCCTGAGGGAAGTGAAGAAGCAAGTCACATGGATTGCCTGTGGGAACACATTGAGTATGAAGACCCTGGAATGGGACAGTGCCTAGTTTGTGTAACAGCAAGGAGGCCATTGTGGCTGGAGTTGAGGGAGGGAGAGAGTAGTAGGTAAGACCATAGAGAAAGGATAGATGAGACTCGAGACCATCACAGACAATTTTTTTCAGGCTTTTACTTTGAGATGGGAAGCCACTGGAAGGTTTTCAGCAGGGTAATGACAAGATCTGATGGACCTTCCAAAAGGATTGCCATGGCTGCATGTTAAATAGATTGTGTGAGTGCCAAGGGTAGAAGCAGGAAGCCAGTTGGGATGCTCTTTCACTATTTAAGGTGAAAGATGGTGGCAGTTTGGTGAAGTGGCAGGAGAGGGTCATATTCTAGGTATATATTGAAGGTAGAGGCAACAGAGGTTGCTGTTAAACCGTATGAATGTGTACAAATTCTCTTGCTAATCATAGAGAATGTGATCAGAGATGATGCCAGGATTTTTAGCCTGAATGATGATAAGCTTTTGTACTGAAAAAGAAAGACTAATGGAGAATCAGTCTGGGGATTAGTTCAGTTTTGGAAATGTTAAGTTTGAAGTGCCTATTAGACTTACAAATGAAAATGTCAAATAAGACATCTGTCCAGGAGAGGTCCAGACTGAAGATGTAAATTTAAAGCCATGAAATCACTCAGGTAGTGAATAGCTAGAAAAGAGAGGAGACTCAGGATTGAGTCCTGGGGGAGGTCACACTCTGGCATGCCTGGATGGAGAGTATGAGGAGGAAAAGCCCAAGGAAATAAAGGAGTGCAGGCACAGTAGTTGGGAGGAAATAGTCTTCTTGACTATTTCCATAGAGGTACATCTGGCGATCAGGAAACTATTAGTTTTTGTTACTATAATAAAATATGAGAGGCTGAGTATTTTAGAAAGAAATAAGGTTTATTTTGCCGTGGTTTGGAGACTGAAAGTCCATAATTCGTGCAGTCACATCTGTATTGCCTCTGGTGAAGACCTCTGATGGTAGATGGCATCAAAATGGTAGAAGTGCTTGGAGAGAGATCTCGTAATGAGTCAGGAAGCCAGAGACATTCAGGGGCCAGGTTTGCTCTTTTTATAACAACTTGGTCTCCATAACTAACTGGTCCCAGAGAACTATAATAAACCCTTCTGAGGGCAGTGTCCCCAGGGACCTTGTTACCTTCCATTAGAACTCCCTCTTAAAAAGTCCACCACTTCTCACCATTGCCATGTTGAACACTAAACTTCCAGCACATGATACTTTCTGGACACACTCAGACTTTATCCAGACCACAGCACCAAGTTAGGCAAATTTAGTCAGAAGGTTGTTTCAGTTTTGCTGTATTAATTTCAAAGTTAATGATAATTAAATTTCTGTTTTGCTTTTATGGATCTATTTTTATCCCACTGTTTCTTAGCAAATTGTTACCCTGCCTGTAGAAGTCTTGATTGACTTCTATTAAACATAAATTCTACCAGTTGTTTTTCTAAATATGTGTGTGTATGTGTATAGATTTCACACTTTGCAGGCAGTGGGACACTGTAGTCAAATTAAGGACACAGATCATATAACCAAGTAGCAGTTAAATAGACTGAGTCTTATAAAAGTTATCAAAGCGTTAGGTGTGTTCTTAGATACTCGCCTCAGTAATGCCTGACTTTAACAACCATGGAAAAAACTTTGTAAATTGTAAATAGCTCTCTTAGTAGCTGAAAGTAGTAATGTGTGTCTGTGTGTGTGCACCCTAATAATTTTATGGATGAATACATACTGAATGTATACTGATACACTGATTACCTTATTGTCCTTTATCTACCACATCTTAACTGTTGTTTCTCTTTCTTGCTGTATGTTTTGAGATACATCTTGTTCATAAAAATACTTTAAATGTTAAAGAAGAAATGTTTAAAATTACTTTAAATATTAAAAATAAGGAAAAGTTTTCAAAATTGCATTCTTTATTGGATATGTGAAGTGATATAAATGGAGGTCAGTCTTGCAATTAGTTGATGTGAACACTGGCAGGCATTTTGAAATTTTCTTTTGTGGCCCTCATTTCCTTTAAGAACTGTTTGTAGGAATACACATGGCTTTATTTTCAGCAGTGAATCTTTCTGGGCAATGGAAAAGGAAGGACATGATTAGACTTTTATTTAAGTAACATAAATATGCAAGCCCCCAAGAGGAAAGAAATTTTCCTCTCTTTCATTGTACCTTATACATAGTACACAATGTTTAATAAGTGAATGAGGGTATAAGCCTGCCTAGCATGCTGGAGGCCCTCCGTTTGACCCCTAACACTGCTAACAAAAAAATGGGAATGTAGCCAGGCATAGTGGCACACCTATAATCCTAGCTACTTAGTAGGTAAAAGTAGGAGGATCTCAGTTCAAGGCCAGTCCGGGGCAAAAGTGCAAGATGTTATCTGAAAAATAACTAAAGCAAAAAGGGCTGGGAGTGTGGCTCAAGTGGTGAGGTGCTGGGTTCAAACCCCATTATCACTCTGCCTCAAAATGGGGACAGGGCATGAATACAAGTTTACAAAAGATTCTATAAATTATGTGACGATCAGTATTTACACACATACACACACACACACACACACACACACACACATATATTATTTTTTTTGATGCTGAGTATTTAACCCAGAGAGAGTCTCCTTACACATGCTAAGCAAGTTTGAACTACACTTCCAACCCCAAAATATTCTTGGAAGTGGTCCCTGGGTAGGGTTCAGCCCTGCTACT